ATGAGATCCCCTGCAGCTGGAGTTACAGGCTGTGGTGAGCCACCAACTCAAGTCCTCTGCAAGAACAATGTGTGTTTTGAAACAGTGAGCCCCTCTCTCTCCATAAAGCCCCTTAATTCATATTTAAATACTCCCCTCAATTCATATTTAAATACTACTTCCTTCAAGTGATCAATTTCAGTCTCTCACATGAGGCTATTGTTTGTGTGTTTTGAGACAGGGTTTCTCTGTAGTCTCTGTAGTGTTTTTGGAGCCTGTCCTGGAACTAGCTCTTGTAGACCAGGCTGGCCTCGAACTCACAGAGATTCGCCTGCCCCTGCCTCCCAACTGCTGGGATTAAAGGCGTGCGCCACCACTGCCTGACTTACATGAGGCTATTTCTGGTAAATGATAATTAATGACTTACTGTAAATTAATAATATCCTGAAGTTCCTCTTCTCAGCTTTTATTACAGTGGCAATTATAAAAGCAATTGGCCAGTTCATTGCTTAATGTTTTGCTACACTTTGGAATGTAATCCTTGAGATGGATTGTCTATAGCCTTAGTTTACTAATGCCTCCTCCACACCACTAAAGCATTCCTCAACAAGTATTTGTCCAATGATTAAATTCAGGAACAATCTAGCAAAACAAAATCTTTGAATTCTGAAAAGTACATGCGTAGTTTCTTAAACATGATTTGGGCAGGCATTCCGAGACAATAGCTAACATCTGTAAATTACCAAGTACTTGCTAAGCACATACAAGGGTTTCTCTGTAATCGCATCGCCTGAAGGGCAGGTTCCCTCATGGCTCCAGTTGTCTAGTGAGGCAACTGAACTGTCGGAAAGGTTCAGAAATTCGTACAGGGTTCTGCTGATTATAAATGGAGGTACTCATGACCTCAGCTGACTGTTTTCTGACCTTATGGGCTTCCCTCCATTATTGCCCCACACCTTGCCACTAACTGCTTTATATTGTCACTCTGATCAGCCACTGAAGCAGAAGAGGAATGTCAAAGTGGTTTACATAAGAAAGCTTGATTTTTGCTTTCTTTTTTTTTTAAGCAAATTTGTAGGACAAATGCAAAATGACTTTTTCTTCCATTTTTATTTCTACAAACCTTACATAGTTATCAAGTTATTTTCTTATTGGCCTGTAGGCAAGCTGAATTTATTTCCATATAGACACCTTTATTTATACCTCTCTCACACAAGAAAAAAAGAACAGGAATATCTTTCTTTGCTTGATTTTCATATAAATTATTAAGTATGGCCTGCCACGATGGTGCATGCCTTTAATTCCATCATCTGGGAGGAAGAGGCAGAAGGATTTCTAGGAGTTCAAGGCCAGCCTGATCTACAGAATGAGCTCTGTTGGGTCCAGAGGGGTCACGCAAAGATGGGGACAGACCACCAAAGTCTAATAAACCAGAAGCAAACTTTATTCCAGAAACCAGAATCCAGAAAAAAAAATCAAAAATATAAAGTAAAATAATCCATGGGCCACAAAAAGCTTATCAGCTAGCTGAGACCACAGACAGAGATGGATTTTGTAAGGCTGTTTCTGAACCCACCTTTTTATAGTAGAGGCACCAAGCATTAGGTCTAAACAAAGAAAGTTTTACAATCTTGAGGTAAAACTCAGATACAGATTGCCTTACTTTACAATCTCCATTAACAGAGTTTCTCGGTTAAACTAGTGTTTGTGATTACTCTATTTTCTTTCTTGGTACTTCCAGGTGGTGTTTACTGAAGCTGTGCTCTCCCCTTTGATGCTGCCAGTTTCACAGAGCAAGGATAATGCATAACCCAGAGGTCATTTATCTATTTCCTAAAAGTTGACTCAGCTCATATCCTTAGGCTAGCTCTCAGTTTGCAGAGAGATGCTTTGGCCTTCTAAATATAGCTATGGGTTGTATAAGAGAGTAATCCACCATTGATGGTTAATCCTTAAGCTACTAACAAAGCTGTTGACAGTCTGTTCTCATTCTTCTAGGCGTACAACTTTATAGTTCCTTATTTCTGCATTTCTATTTCTGGAATCTATATTTTTATATTCTTATCTTTGGACCTTTAAAGCTTGATTCCAGCACTCAGGAGGCAGAGGCAGGTGGATCTCTGGGAGTTCGAGGCCAGCCTGGTCTACAAGAGCTAGTTCTGGGACAGGCACCAAAGCTACAGAGAAACCCTGTCCCAAAAAAAAAAAAAAAAAAAAAAAAAAAGCTTGATCCAGAAAAGCTAGGACTACATTTTCTCTATCTCAAAAACCAAACAAAAATTTATAAATCCATGCATACAAATCAAAATAAAATACTGTTTCAAGTAAGACATGGAACCTTTATTATTTTGAGACATAATGTCTTTTGTATATTCCAGGTTGGCTTCAAACTTACTATTTAGCAAGTGATGTGGAATTCCTGGCTGTATGCCGTGAATATATTTTATTATCATTGGTTAATAAATAAGCTCTTTGGCCTGTGATAGAGAAGAATAGAGCTAGGCAGGCAGCGGTGGGGGGACTAAATTGAATGCTGGGAGAAAGTAGGCGGAGTCAGAGAGATGCCAAGTAGCCACTGAAGGAGAAAGACATGGGCCCACCTTACTGGTAAACCATGAGCCTCATGATAAAATACAAAATATAGGAATGGGTTGATTTAAGATGTAAGAGTTAGCTAGAAGTATGCATAAGCTAACAGGCCAATCAGTGTTGTTATTAATATAATTTCTGTGTGGTTATTTCGGGTCTGGGCAGCCGAGAAATGAACAAGCAGTCTCTGCCTACAAGCAAGAATAACCTTGACCTTGTGAGCTTCTTGTCTTAACCTCCCTAAGAGCTGGGATTATAGTTATGTGACACTCCATCCAGTTCATGCCATCCTGTGGGTGGCACCCAGGACTTCAATCCTGCCACTTAGTTATACCCTGAGCCTAAGCTATTTTTAAATGATATATAAAAGCATAAAGTTGTGTATATTAATGGACTCCCATATGTCTTCAATACATGAATACATTGTAGAATGTTTAAACCAAGTTAAATGAATCTGTCTCCTTTACCATTTCTTTATTGTAAAAACTCAAAGTCCTACCTGATTGCAGGTTGAATTTTAGTAAGTCCACACAGCTGGAGTTGTAGAAGCATGCTTGCCTACCATACATAAGACCCTGAATTTTGTTCCTAGCAATGGAGAAGAGAGGAAAGAAAAAAATAAAATGAAAATTGAAGTGAAAAAAATCAATTATTAGTTCTTGAGAATGGTGTCCTATATAAGGAGGTAATCATTATGTTTCAGTTTTTTAAAATTGGCTGAAAGAAACAAACTCTGAGTTGTAATTTGTTAGCTATTTTTAGGTAAAATATAGAAAAGTGTCTTTATTATTACCTCCTTAGTCCCTTAAAGACTGTCAGATGCAGGTAGGTAAATTTGATGTGGAAAATGTAATTACTTATGCAACGTTAAGTCACATAAATCCTCAGATCTTATTTAAGAAAAAGCATATAATGTGATGAAAGTACTAAATATAATAAATATATTTATAGATATAAATATAACATAAATATATTTATTTTCAATGTCAACCTCAAATTGCCATATCTTTTAAGACATTCTCAAATAGCAACGGAAATGAAACCATTGCTTTCCTCTTTTGTATTACTGTAGAGAAAGCAGCTAGAAAATAAGTGTTCAAAAAGTGACCATGGGCGGGGCTGTGGTGGCACACACCTTTAATCCAGCCCAGTTCTTGGGAGGCAGGGGCAAGTAGTTCTCTGTAAATTCGGGGCCAGCCTGATCTACATAATGAGTACCAGTATTGCCAGGGCTACACACAGAGAAACTCTATCTCAATAAAACAAAAACAAACAAACATACAAACAAGCAACAACAACAAAAAGAACCCAATACACCAAATTTTTTAAAAAAAATGGCCATGGACTAGACATTCTAGCACAGGCCTATAATCTCAGCACTATTAATGCTGAGGCAGAAGGATGGTGGATTAATTACTTGTGGCTGCGATGAAATACTTGACAGAAAACAACTTCAAAGGAAAAAATGTTTCTTTTGGCACTGTTTAACCATAAGACAGAAAAGACATTGTAACCTTCCCCTTTTCTATTCAGTGTGGACCCCGGGACTGTAAGGATGGTGTCACCCACATTCAGAGTGACTCTTCCCTCTTCTGTTAAACTCTGAAAACCACCTCACAGCCCAAAGGTTGTATCTCCTAAGTGAGTTCAAATCTAGTTGATAATGACGATTATAACAGATGTCCATTCTGAAGCCAGCCTGGACTGCATAGCAAGATTGTTCTCATGGGAATAAAAGTAAATAAGTTGTCTCAATAGTATAGTGTCTAGAGGTTTTAGAATGTCCTGCAGTTAGTCAATGCTCATTATATCCTCGAAGGTCAGTATTCTGCCAATACCGCCCCTTGTATATGGGGTTTATGGTAATATACAAACTACGCTTGTGCCTTTATCCAGTCTTTTTCTTCTTTCGTTTGTTTGATTTTTGATTCAGGGTTTCTCTACATATCCTTTGTGTCCTGGAACTCACCATTTAGACCAGGCTGGCCTCCAGCTCTCAAAGATCCAACCACCTCTGCTTCCAGAGTGCTTGGCATCAAAGGCTCACACTAAATAGAAACCAAAGGCTTCTGGTAAGCCCCTGTAAAGCTTATTTTTATTTCTTTGTGGAACAAAGTAAGAGAGTGATAGCAACTGGCTTTCTAGCATTTATTCTTATAGCATTGTGGCGCCCACTACTGCCCCCTTTCGTCGTTTATATTTCAACAACAAGGAAATAAACAAGACTCAAAAGACTACAACTCCCAGGGAGCCTCACGGCAGGCGACGCCAACGTGCCTTAGCGGTTAGTCATTCTTCCTGAAGCAGCCTTCCTCTTCCTGGACTCGGAACCTGGCTTTGTGGGCGCGCGCGCAGGCGGGTTTACCTAGCCAACCAGGCACGGGAGCGCGCCCCCCCCCCACCGACGACGCGTGTTGTCACGTGACACGGGGGGCGGGCTTTTTCTGCCGAGCGCGCTCCCGTGCGCGTCCCCAGGGGGGCGGCTGTCGGGCGTACGAGTCGGTGAGGAGCTGGATCCTAAGACGCGGCGTCCGACCAGCCGGTGGTTCCCCGAGCCGCGAGGCCGAAAAACGAGGAAGGCGGGCCCGGCTGCGGGACCGCGGCGACGACACACCGATCGAGCGCCTGGGCCTGAGGGGAGCGATGCTGTGGTTCCAGGGCGCCATTCCGGCGGCCATCGCGTCGGCTAAGAGGAGCGGCGCGGTCTTCGTGGTGTTTGTGGCAGGTGACCGGGGAGTGGGCCTGAGAGGGAAGGAACCGAGGTAGTGCGTTTTTCCTGGTTCTCGTTAGCGTCGAGTGGACCCTGTGGGAGGACCCGCGCTGCGGCTGGGCTCGGACTTCCTAAGCCTGTCGACAAGTCCGCTCGGGTCTGTTCGGGTCCGCTCGTCTCCGATCGGGGCCAGTTAGGTTTTCTGTTGCTTGGCTCCGGGCTTGTCCCGGCTGCGGGACCGACCCAGACGCCAAGCTTCTTCAGACCGCGGGCGGGCCCGGCACTCCTCGGTGGCTCTGGCTCTGTTTGGGACGCCGGCCTGACCCCTGTGCTTCTGTGTGGGGAGCGCAGTCCAGGCCCTGTCCCCAAACACTGAACCCTGCGAGGAGAAGCGCCCTGTAGGCCCCGGCAGTCGGTTTGTCGCCGACAGACCCCCATAAACCGCCGCCCCGGTTCCCCCTTGATCCTCTAGGATCCCCCTTTCAAGGGGGTTTGAACCTCCTTTTAATTCTTGACGTTCAGGTGGGATTGGGACGAGCCACTTGGCAGACAATTGGGTCTAATTAGTTGTGAGCTGTCAAGAAAGCTGTGTCATCGGTAAGCCACAAAGAAACCACTTGATGTCCACAGCAGCTGTCTTAGAATGTTCCTGAAACATAAGCTTCATAGAGGGGTAATCTTTTATGATAGCGCTAGGAGGGTAATCTAAGATATAACTTAGATTTATTACAAGTTGACTATACACACACACACTCTTTTAACATAGTTTTAAAAGTACATACTCAGTCGTGATTCTTACTTTCTAATGTAAAGTCTAGTTTTCCAGACATGCGCTAACTCATTACCCTATGTTTCTTTGTATTATTTTGTTCCATAATCTGTTTTATTTCTGAAGTCTTGTATATTTGCAGCCAACCATCTGCTTCTGTAGTTTTCTACATTCTTGTTACATGGAACCATTTGGGTGACAACTGTTAATTTGAAGTGTATTTTTTTTATTTTGTGTTCATTGGTGTTTTGCCTGCGTGTATGTCTGTTTGAGGGTGTCAAAGGCCTGGAACTGGAGTTACAGACAGGTGTGAACTGTCGTGTGGGTGCTGGGAATTGAACTCGGGTCCTCTGGAAAAGCAGCCATTGGTGCTCTTAACTGCTGAGCTATCTCTCCAGCCCCTGAAGTGTATTTCTTCACCTACTTGTGTTTAGTAACATTGTACTCATAATTGACCCTCATCTCTAGTAATTCTATAATTTGTCCATTTTGTAAAGAAAAATGACTGAAATATGAATTTACTTAGCCTTAAAATTTAAATGTCTGTTATACTAAATTTTTAGCTTGATACTGTTAAGTTAGAGCATAAATCATTTAGATTCTATTGAAGTTGTATTATGCATTAAATAAATAAATAAATAAGTCTTGTAATCCAGTAAGGACAATAGTCACATAAAAATGAAAAGACTATGACACTATAGTATGAAGTCAATTGTTTATGAGATTTTAATATGGTTGTAAGCCATCACGTGGGTTTGGGAATTGAACCCAGGTCCTCTGAAAGAGCAGCTAGTGCTTTTAACTACTGAACTATCTCTACAACCCTAGTTTATAACATTATTTATTTATTTATTTATTTTTTAGTTTTTTGAGAACAGGGTTTCTCTGTAGCTTTGGAGCCTGTCCTGGCACTAGCTCTTGTAGACCAGGCTGGCCTCGAACTCACAGAGATCCGCCTGCCTCTGCCTCCCAAGTGCTGGGATTAAAGGCGTGCACTACCACCACTGCCCGGCTAACCCTAGTTTAGAACATTTTAAACTGTGTTCTTAACAAAATTTCAATAGCTTTTTTTGGGGGAGGGGAAGTATGTGGTATTTTATTTTCACTGTTTCTATACTTGAACATCTTAGGTCCAGTGTTGTAAAGTAACTTGAACCAGGCTCAGAAAAATTGGTTGGTTGGTTGGTTGGTTGGTTGGTTGGTTGGTTGGTTGGTTTTTATTGCTTTGAGACAGGATCTCACAGATAGCACAGGCTGGCCTTGAGCTCCCAAGTGTTGGGATTATAGACTTGTGCAACCACACCAGATTAAAATTTACATTTTAACAGTGAGGGGAATAACAGTAAAATATTTTATCCACTTAGAAAAAGTATCTTGCCTTTGTTCATTTGTTTTTGAGACAGGGTCTTACTTTGTAGTCTAGGCTGACCCCAAACTCATAATTGTCTTCTTTCTTCAGTCTTCCAAGTGCATAGGTTATATCTGGGGGCTTTTTCCCCCCTTTGTTTATTAAAGACAAAAACAACAAACAGTCGTGTGGTGGTGGTGCACGCCTTTACTCCCAGCACTCAGGAGGCAGAGGCAGGAAACGCTCTGAGTTTGAGGCTTAACCCTGTCTACAGAGTGAGTTCCTGGATAACCAGGGTTACAAAGAGAAACACGTCTCAAAAAAAAAAAAAAAAAGGAGGAAAAGAACAGTTGTAGGTTATATGGTAAATCAGTAGATAAATGAACTTTAGAATCATAGTATCCATGTTTTTTTAGCAGAACATGCGATTGATGATACATAACCATTCCTAAAAAGTACTAAGGCAGTCAGTTAACTTGAAAGAAAAAAGTTCCCCTTCATGGGTGGGTCCAAACCTGGGGCTACATTCGTGCCAGGTAATTGTTCTACTAAAGAACTAGACCCCTAGTCTAACTTGCTAGATTTGATTAACAAATATTTGAAAGCTGTAAAAATATACACACTCCTCAGTTAACTTTACTGAAATTTGTTGGTATTAGATATATTTAGAATATCATCAACCATTGAATGTTTGCAGAAATACTGTTAGGAATGGACAGTGGAGTCTGTCCCTTAACCTCTTCCAAGACCTAGAGTTTTAGCTAGGTCATCCCAACACAAAGTAGGATAAATGTTGCTCTAAGAATGTATAGACACAGCCTTTAATCCCAGCACTCGGGAGGCAGAGGCAGGTGGATCTTTGTGAGTTCGAGGCCTACTAGTTTACAAGAGCTAGTTCCAGGACAGGCTCCAAAGCTACAGAGAAACCCTGTCTCAGAAAAACCATTAAAATAAAAAAATGTATAGACACTGGGATCATAAAGCAGCAACATTCTGGTAGCACCTAACGGGTGGGCCCCTTTTGACATTGTGACATGACACTGCTGTCTATGGAGTTCACACCTTAGAACCTCAGAATCAAGTTACACCACCATCACCACCTCATCCCCAGCCAAATAGTCCTCAAGATATTTTAAACAAGTTCACAGGACTTTATATTGTACCATAGACATAGCTATTCTCTTATGCTTTGACGCATGGTTATACATACCTGGGCCCTAGAGCTTTGTTCTTAACTTGAAGAATATGTCTAGAACTTAGGATTTTCTTGATCTGAGATCCCATTAATAATATATCAACCTTTAAAAAATTCAACTTATATATAAAAATTCAGTTTATTGCTGGGTGATGGTCACATACCTTTAATTCTAGCACTTGGAAGACAGAGGCAGATGCATCTCTGTGAGTTCAAGGCCAGCCTAGTCTACAGTGTTGAGTTACAGGACAGCCAAGGCTACACAGAGAAACTCTATCTCTAAAAATGAAACAAACAAAATTCATCTTATTAAGAAATGTAAAAGGTAGCTATAGCTAGAGAAAGTGTTTCAAGAAGTTCAAAAAACTATTTCAGGTACACACACACACTACATACAGGGACTGGAGAGATGGCTCAGTGGTTAAGAGTGTTTATTGCTTCTGCGGAGGACCTAGGTTCAGCACCCATGTACAACTGTGAACCATCTACAACTCCAGATCTAGGGGATTTGATGCCTCTTCTTACTCCACAGCCTTCTGTACATATGTGATCTACATAAACACACAAATATTTTTTACAAATTATTTCAGGGAAAAAGTTTTAGGCAAGTTTTTATTTTATGAAATTGTTTCCTTTTACTTTTTTAGAGGCTAAGTCTTGCTATTGCCCAGGCTGCCCTTCAATTCCTGGACTTAGTAATCCTCCTAGCCTCAGCCTCCCAAGTATCTAGGACTTTAAGCATGGGCTACGGCATCTGGCTTTGATTAATAAAATTTTCATGAATGAAGTAAAATTAAATATTTAATTTAATTAAAAATTAAATAATTGTTGAGTTGTATTAGAAGCTAGAGATACTTCAACTAAATTAACAAGAATTTCTAGTTTTAGGGGGCTGGAGAGATGGCTCAGCGGTTAAGAGCATTGCCTGCTCTTCCAAAGGTCCTGAGTTCAATTCCCAGCAACCACATGGTGGCTCACAACCATCTGTAATGAGATCTGGTGCCCTCTTCTGGCCTTCAGGCATACACACACACAGACAGAATCTTGTATACATAATAAAGAATTAAATATTTTAAAAAAGAGTTAAAAATATTTAAAAAAAAAAAAGAATTTCTAGTTTTAGCTGTTTAAACTGAAAGATGTAAAGACAGTTGTACCATAGTACAAAAATCTGTTGAGGAGACTTTGTAGCAAAGCTCTCTGTCTAGTCTGATACTGTTGGCTGCCCTCTTTGGTTAGCATAGATCACAAAGCCTATAAGGTTTGAGCATTTGAGATTTCTTTCTTAGATTGGGTGGTGAAAGACTGCAGCTGTCTGTGCTTCAGAGTTTGTTGGCATACTTTAAGTGTCTTCACTTTGGATGTTGCTGCTACCATGTATAGCATGTGTTCTCCTAAAATCTTAGGGTCACCTGATTTTAAAATGTGGGTGATAGTTTGATTAAAATTAAGACAAAAAAGATACTGACAGTGGCAACTGGTAATTCTAGTGGAACTTAGTGTTAAGAAGCTTCTCAACCAGGTGGTGGTGGCGCATGCTTTTGATCCCAGCACTCCAGAGGCAGAGACAGGCAGATCTCTGTGAGTTTGACGCCAGCCTGGTCTACAAAGCAAGTCCCAGGACAGGCAGGAGTGTTATAGAGGAAACCCTGTCTTGAAAAACCAAAATAAATAAATAAATAAATAAATGTAGAAAATTAGCTTCTCCTGCTGCCACCATCACAAGGCTGAGTCAGGAACAGATAGTGCCAGTGGGACTGTGACTCTGGGACCCTAACCTAACCAGTGTAAGGTACTATGCTTTACAAAATAGCAAAACGAAAACTAGTCTATTTAGGATTGACTCAAGTTTAAATATGTTTATTGCCTTCATTTGTTATTCTCCCTCAGGGTTTCTAGCTAAATGTCACCATTGTACATTCTGTTAGATAATCCATGATGTGGGTAGCCCTCATTAGCTTTTCAGTTTCATTTCTCTCTTGTTCTCCATTGTTTATTATTTTCCCAGCCACACAGATCTTTCTCTGTACATGTATTCTTTCTGCATGCTGAACTTTTCTGTATTTGGTATGGCTCAATTCTTTGGTCCTATCTTAAATGTCACCTTAGAGATGGATATGGTGGGGCATGTCTTTAATCCCAGCACTTGGAAATTCAAGGCTAGCCTGTTCTACATAGTGAGTTCCAGTACATCCTGGGCTATGTAGAGAAACCCTGTCTCAGAAAAAGGAAATAAAAAGAGAGAGAAAGAGAAGTCATCTCAGAAAAGTCTTCTCTGACCATGATAGATTTTATTTATTTGTATGTGTGCTCACATCCTGGGAATCAAACTCAGATCTTCTTGTTACTAACAGAACTGTCTTCCCAAACCTAAACACTCTCATTCATAGCAATTACTGCTTTATGAGTTGGTAGTTGTCTACTTGTTTGGAGATACACACACACTTTTATTCATTTTTATTTTATGTGCATTGGTGTTTTGCCTGCATCTGTGTCTGTGAGAGAGTGTCAGATCCCCTGTAACCTGTAAATGGAGACTGCACATTTGTTTCCCATCCACCCAGACCCCAATAATCACACAGAAACTATATTAATTACAACACTGCTAGACCAATAGCTTAGGCGTATTCCTAAACTCTTACATCTTAAATTAACCCATTCCTGTTAATCTATGTATCACCATGAGGCTATGACCTACCAGTAAGACTCCAGAGTCTTCCTTAGGCAGCTACATGGCATCTCCCTGACTCTGCCTACTCTTCTATCTCTTCTGATTTCCCACCTGGCTTTACTCTGCTAAGCCATCGGCTCAAATAGCTTTATTCATCAACCAATAAAAGCAGCACATACACAGAAGGACATCCCACATCAGGAACCAGAGATACAGACAGTTGTGCACCTGGCATATGGGTGCTGGGAATTGAACCCAGGTCCTCTGGAAGAGTAGCCAGTGCTCTTCACCTCTGAGCCATCTCCCCAGTCATATCACTAGGTTTTAAGCTGTGTTGAGAACAGTGTTTTATATCTAGTATATAAGCCAAATGCCAGAATAGAAGAACTGAAATAAAATAAAATAGTAAATAAAAGAATGATTACATAAGATTTCTCACTCTTTACTGTCTCCTTGAAATGCTTACAGAAAGAATGTTTTAAGTAGCTATTTTCTAGGTTGATAGTTGAGTCATTTTCTTAAGAATTTATTATTTCTTCCTACCCCATTGTCTCTGTAAACTCATTCAGAATGCTCTCATTTGCAAATGGCAACTTTCCTTTATTTTCTTTGTTGTAACTTCCATGAGTTAGTTAAAATGGGTATTCTTACTGGTTTTGATCTGTCCCATTTCCATGTCCAAATTTTTCATAGGCTCTCTGTTGATGACTGGCCTCAACAAAAATACTTCATACCAGGGTAGGGGCGTGGAAATTGAAGAAATATAAGTAAAGAATATGAAGGCACATAAAAATAATAAGACAGAAAGCATAGAAAGTATTGGGAGGGCATTTCAGTGACTGAAATCCTGAAATTCATTGGGTTTATTTTTCCCCAGCTTTTATACCCAATGTAAACTGGGAGAGAAGGTAACAAAAGACTTTATTAACATGATACATAGGATAACTCACACAGTCAATGGCCTTATCACTCTGAGACATCAAATCATTAGCATTCTGTCATCTAGGTAGCTAATGTGTTCTAGGTCACATAAGCTGAAGACCTGCCCTTTCCTAGGTGACCTCATAGACAATAGAAGGAGCAGAAGTACATTTGCACATCTTGACTACCTGTCAGGATGGCATTGAGCTCTCGTAATTTCAAAAGACATTCTGAGTTAGGAGGTGCAATTACACCAGTCAGTCTCCAAACTCTCTGACCTTCAGACAAGGTAGAAATGGGCCTGCATTTTTCAGCCTCCACAGCTCTCTCATTCATATGCAGTCAGGTATTGTAGGCACGCCTGTATGCTCACTATGCTAGACATTTAAATGTTCATTTCAATAAACACTGAATACCTGCTCTATGCCTAGATTCTTACTGCTACAGGATCTGTTGTAGGGATTTCAGTCAAAAGAGAACATGAAAAACTGTCTTTGCCTTCATGGGCTATTTTCTAATTGGGAGAAAAAGACAATAAACAATAAAGATAATTAAGGTGCATAGTATATTAGAAGGTGGGTGACCTGAGATGGTTTTCATTGCAAGTTCTAAGTGTTAAGTGGTGCTGTAGAGATGGTTCAGTGGAAAAGAGCAATTGCTGCTCTTAAAGAGGCACCAAGTTTAGTTCCCAGAAGCTACATGGTAGACAATTGCTGTGTAAGAATAGATAACCCTAGTGGGACTGGACAAGCTAAGAGTACTTATTCTTCTTTCACAGGTTCAGTTCCCAGCATTGCATTGTAGTTTACAACTGTTCATAATTCCAGTTCCAGGAGAACTGATGCTCTCTTTGTCCTCTTCCTCAATCTTCCCCTCACCCACCATTCCCCACCACCATCATCACCACACACACCATGGTTTCTTCGTGTAGCCCTGGCTGTCCTGGAACTCACTCTGTAGACCCAGCTAGCCCAAATTCAAGAGAACTGCCTGCCTCTGCCTCCTGAGTGCTGGGCTGAAAGTGTGCACCTTTATTGCCTGGCCTTTTCTGGTCTCTTTGAGTACTAGATAAACATATGTGTGATTTATATGTGTGTGTGTATATATGCAGACAAAACACACATAAAATAAAAATAAATAAGTCTTAAAAAAATGACCTAGCAAGGAAGACTCATTTAGGTTTCTATGTTCATCTGCTTTAGCTTTGCTAAATGTGGTAGCAGTGGAAGCTATAATAAGCAGTAGTTTCATTTGTATGTATTTTTGAAATAGTCAACTGAAGTTATGGATAAAGTGTTTTGGGCTTGTTTTGTGTGTTTGCTCTGCTGGGGGTCAAAAGGTTTTGTGCATTCTAGATAAGCCTCACCCTGCTATGGGACCATAACCACAGCTTCAGTAGGATCAGTTTTCAAGTTTGGTGAAGTTAAGAGAACACTTGCTAAACTGGGTGTGGTAGTACATGTCTTTAATCCCAACACTTGGGAGGAAGAAATAGCGAGTTCCAGGATTATATAGATACCCTGTCTCAGATAAAACAAAAACAAAAAAGGAAGGAAGGAGAAAAATATTTACTGTTCTTACAAAGGACCAGTTTGGTTCCCAGCACTCACATGGTAGCTCACAACTGTTGTAACTCCATTTCCAGGGTTTCCAAAGACAACTTTTGGCCTCCTCAAGCACAGCACACATGTGATGCTCTTAAATACATGCAAGGCAAAGAGCTTATACACATAAAATAAAATTTGAAAAAGAATACTTGTGGATTATATTTTATTTGAGTTCTAGTTTCACAGGAGGAAGAAATTTAGAATTAGCAGTCCTGACCTCGGCATTTCTAAGAGTTCTTAAAATATGTTCACAGGTGATGATGAGCAGTCCACGCAGATGGCTGCAAGCTGGGAAGATGATAAAGTGACAGAAGCATCTTCAAACAATTTTGTTGCAATTAAAATTGATACCAAAAGGTGTGCTTATACTTTAATGTTTCATTACTTTTTATTTCTAATCATGTTTTTTGTTATTTATGATAATATTCTTGAACTATTAAGAATGTTCATTTTATAGGTACAGATCTCTAAGGCACTAAGATATATTAGGAACTTAAATTATTTTTTAATTTTTTGAGTGTACCACCACATCCAGTTAATGGAATTTAAATAATTTTGTTATGATTACTATTTATACTTTATTATTTGACAACTTTTTTGTTTGTTTTGTTTTTCTAGCGGGGTTTCCCTGTGTAGCTGTGTCTTGAAACACAGTATGTAGACCAGACTGGCCTCAAACTCACAAACTCGCCTGCCTCTGAGATTAAAATGCTGAGGTTAAAGATGTGATCTACCACTGCCTGGCATGGATTTAACAACTTTCTATACCTTTCCCCCATTCATTATTTTAGATAGTTTTTCTTGATGGATATTTAGGATGTTTTAATCCTTCTTATTACAGAATATTATGTCACTGTATCTTGTTTTAAGTTAAGGGTTTTTTTTATTTTTTATTTTATGTGTATTATGTGAGTATTTGCATGTATGTCGGTGCACCATGTACTTGCAGTGCCCAAGGAAGTCTGAAAAGGGTGTTGGATTGCCTAGAAACAGAGTTACAGATGGTTGTGAGCCACCATGTGGCTGCTAGAAGTCAAACCTGGTCCTCTGGAAGAGCACCACTGAACCATCTCATCTCTCCAGCAGCCAAGATTTTTTATTGTATTTGCTATTTAAGGAAGCAACATGAGATTTTTTTTTTTCCAGATGGTTTCTCACTATATAGACCACACTGACCTAGAAATCATAAAAATTCTCCCACCTCTGCCTCCCTGGCACTGGGATTAAAGGTGGATGCCACCACACCCAGCAAGATAGACATTTTTAATTTACAAACCCAGCCACCACTTTGTGGGTTATAAGAAGAAAGGATTGTTTAATCTGAAAGTTATGAAACAAAAATTAAAAAGAACAAAAATGTTTTGTAAAATAAAATTTATATTTTTGTCCTTCCAGCATATTCCTATCTAATTTTTAAAATATACTTATGATTGGCATAGTAAATTTAATGAATGCAATACAGTTGAATTCATGTTGTGATTTTTCTTTTGATTTTTTACAGTGAAGCTTGTCTGCAATTTTCACAAATTTGTATCCTTTCATTGAAGCATTGTTTTCATGTAGATTATATTTGCTTTTCTTTTTTTAATTAAAAAATTTGGGAATTAGTTTTATTTGGGAAAATTTACCTTTTGATAGAAGCAATGTTGCAGTCTTTTGTATTAGCTATATATAATACATTATAGCTAATGGCAAAGTATGTGTTTTTTTTTCTTTTTTAAATTTATTTGTATTTTGCCTCCATGTACAGCTGGTTGAGGATGTTGAGTCCTGTGGAACTAGAGTTACTATAGACAGCTTTGAACCATCATGTGGGTGCTGTTATTTTTTTTAATTTTAAGTTTTCTTTTTTTTTTTTTTTTTTTTTTTTTT